TAGTCCTTTCCCAACACCCTCCCTCTCCTAGCATAACCATTTAATGTTCCCTGTGTCCATCACTCCTGGGGTTTGCAGCAGGGAAATCTGTGGGTGAAAGGGTGAGAACAGTAGGCTGGACGAGGGCAGAGTTAAGGTTGCAAAGTGTGTTGTGCAATGTCTGGTTGTTGCAGGTATTGGAAGATGTGTGCCTGTGGGCAAGCAAGAGAGGGCATGTATTTATGTCCTTGCTTGTGGAGGGTTGTGTTGCAGGCTTATCTGCTTTACAGCAGAGCTCCAATCTCACTTCATAAGGGCTTGGATTTAGCATTACCCTGCTGCTGCTGTGCCAAACAGGGCCTTTTTGTCCATGGCACAGTGCAGGCATTGTTGTTAGGGCTAAGGAACACATCTCTGAGGCTGAGGCCTCTGTGCCTTGTACCTTCCAGGAATGGGTTTCCCTGCTTTAGTATAAGACATCAGCTGTGCCATGAGCCAGATCTGTGGAGCCAGCAGCTGCAACAACAGTAAGTCTGGCATTTGGGCCATGTGGCAGTAGTGGAGCTCTGGCAGGAGGGGCCAAGTGGAGACAGCTGTGCTCACTCTCTTGCCTCCAGCTACCGTGTCCAGCAGGGTCCGGATTTTCTACAGCAGGATACCTCCCCCACCCCCAAGCTCCTAGCAGTTTGATGATAGTCCAGCAGGCAGGATGAAATGGCTCCATGGGCTACAGCTGTCCCATGGGTTGCAGGTTTGACACCCCTGGAAGATGATAATTCCAACTTCTTGTTGATGTTACAAAGGCCAAGCACCATGCTGCTGTACTTCAGGCTTATCCCTCTGCTGTGATTCCCTGCTTCCCTGGTCCACTTGGGCACCTGGGAGGGGGACCTGTTACACCCAGTTTCAGGAAGTCCAGGGTTGGCAGCATCTGCTATGGGAGAAGTGTGGAAAGGGGCAGTTGCATAAACAAGGAGCCAAAGCCCAAGCCTGAGCTGTGGGGAAAAACTCCCAAATGTCCCAGATGCATCCTAGTTACAGGTGAAAACCCAGCTCTGACTCAGCAGGACTAGTGACTGTTTGTGTGCCTCTATTGCTCCTTACAGCTCAAGATCTCAAGGTACCTCACAAGCCTTTAAAGGGTAGGTCATTTGCTTTTGCAGGCAAAGCAGGTCTCTGTCTGCCAGGCTTACACCACCTGGCAGGTCGTGGGCACCAAAATAGATTAAGCCATGGAAAGCCCAAAGGGATGAAGGATAGCAGCTAGCACAACAGCCGCTACGACAGCACAGGCCTGGCCCAGTGGGGGCAGATTTACTACTGGATAAACCAGGGACAGTCTTCTCATGTTTTCCAGTGCCTGTCTTTCAGTCCTAGCCTGTATGTTTCCCAGACTCTCCAACCCCTTGCCCACATGGTCATGCTCATCTGCCATGGCATAACTGGTCCCAGGCTTATGTCTCAATCTTAGCCCCTCTGTTCCCACATCCCTGGCTTTGGATTTGGGAACAGAATCCAGGAATCCTGACTTTTCTAACTGTTGACCCTCATAAATCAGGCTCTTCCTTCTGAGAAGTGAGGAGAGAGTGTTAGCTTGGGGCTTTCAAGTCTGAGTTTGTCAGCTTGCCACCTTTCCCCCCTTTATCAGGTTGCTGGGTACAGTTGCTGCCGAAGAGGAGTTTGGGGGATTTCAGGGTGGGGGCCTGGGTTGGCAGACCTTGGAGAGACCTGTGTACTTTCACGCCACCTCGGCTCAGTCCCCTGGGACTGCCTTAGCCCCTGAAAAGTGAAAGCGGCGGAGGTCTAAAGTTCAGTCTGAACTGCCTTGGAAAGTCCCAGAGCCCAACGCCTAATCGCTGCATACCTGCCAAGGCCAGAGGAGGAGCTTGTGGCCCTCTGTGGTGAAAGCATGGGGACTGGTAGGGACGCAGTGGGAGCTGGGTTTGAAGAAACAGGGACTGTCCCTGGTAAATGGAAAAGGGAGGCCTGCGGGCACATGACTTCAAGAATGTCTGTCTGCACAGAGGCTTGGCTGGAGGTCTCCTAGGGCTTTTTCCTGAGTACTGAGGATGGTGGGAGCTGCTGAGTGAGCTTGGCATCGGCATTTTCACCACCGAGACAGCATGGCGCATAACCCTGTCAGTGCACTTCCAACTTGAGCAGCAGCAGCCCCCTAGCATCCCCAACCCCAGAGAGGTGCCCAGTGGAAACTGCTCTCTTCTCTGCACACCAGAGGCTGAGTCAAGCCTGCTTTCCTTACTAAGTGGCTCCCAGATGTCATTCTCTATCCCCCTACGCAGGGGGAGCTCCAGCCTTGCAGGGAGCCCTCCCCATGTGGCACTCAGACATGCTGTGGGTGGCTGCTCCCTTTAATGGGGCAGGGGAATTCCCTCCACCTTCATGACCTGGGGCTTCCCCGGGGATTTTGCCTTCAGGCACAGATGTCCCCCAGGGGTGGGCAGCAGGGGAACCTGCTCCTTAATGCTGCTCTGTCTCCCACAGTAGGGCCTGGCTTGGGGTCCCTTGCATCCTGCTGCTAACACACCTGAGCTCCCCATCCCTATTTTCTAGACATGGCTGAACCTGTGGCACTGCCATGAAGCAGGCTGCAGAGTCAAGTCTCTGCAGAGCTCCTGCAGGTTTTCAAGTGCATCACAGGCCCAGGTGGCCTCCCTGCAGCTCAGAGCCGAGCACCCTTTCCCCCCAGCCCTCGCACATGCTCTAAGAAAATACCACCCACGCAAGCCAGCAGGCCCAGGGTGCTGTTGAGGACTCCCGTCCCTCGACCTCCCATGCCTGCCCTGTGGGGCTTGGGGCATGTATCTAGTGGCTGCATCTGTTAGCCACTATACACAGACACTGCCCCTGAGACAGTTCAGACAGGATGGGCTGGAGGACAGGCAGGAGGGACCCTGCTCTATTGCAGGTGAACATCAGGTTTTCCCTGCTGCTGGGCTGTGGCAGCACCTAGACCCATGTGTCGGTAGGAACCCCCCACTTCCTCATGATCTGCCACCCAAGGCAGGGCTTTCACATGAGCTGCCCTGCTGACTCCCCTGAGAGATGAGATCTCTCAAGATCAAGACAGGTCTTGCTGTGATCAGAACTGAAAGCAAGGCTCCCTTTGTGACTTAAAAAGCCAACCCACCCACTCCTCACTTCTTCCCCATCCACCAGTGGAGGCCTGACCCCAGCAGCGTGGGTGGGCTGAAAGAAGGCCAGGAGTGCCCTGGCTGCTTCTATAATTGGATAGGTGGGGGCGGACGGGGGCCATTTTGTACTTGCCCAAAGGTAGCTGGTGAAGTTGAGGAGGCTAATCCTAACCTCCCTGCAGGGCTGAAAATTACTTTTGAGAGCTTGAACCTCTCTCACTCTTGTTCTGACTGCTTGGGAGAGAGTGGAGACCATCTTGACACTCTTGTGCAAGTGTGGCCCGCGTGTTCTTGTGGTCTGTGAGATATAGGTCTTCCCACAGCCCCAGAGTGGGAAACTCTGTGCAAGGACTGGGGTCAGGCTCCAGTATGGGGGAGCTGGCTCTCTCTTCCAACATGGGAGGCTGGGTCCTGAGCCATGACAGTCCTTAGGATCTGAAGTGAGTTTGGGTTCATGAAAGTTGTGTTTTCTCTCTCTGTATATAGATGTATATTTTATTTAATTAATCTATAAAGATGTATATCTACCCTGCCATCAGTCCCTAGCATAGCCAGTACTAAGACATCCCTTACAGGGGGCTGGGAACCTTTCTGCTGCCTCTTATACATCATGTCCCTGTTCCTTCTTAGCTGGGGCACTGCCGGCAATGTCTTGGAGGTGATTTACAGGTTATTTTGGGCTACTTGCCAGGACCCCTCCCAGATCTGTCCCCTGCCCCCACTGGTTGTCCTTGAGCCAGGAAAGCAGAAGTGTTGTGGCGGCAGGGAGGAGGGGTGTGGAAATCCCCTGGCAGCTACAGATCGTACTAGGCTCCAGCCCACTGCAGCCAGTCCCTGGTCCCGCCTCTCTGGAGCAGATTCCAAGCTCCCTGGACTCACTGACTCTGGGCATTTGTACCTCTGAGAATATAGGGTTTTGCATTTGAATGGGGCACGGGGAACAATTAGAAAGTACCAGCTGCTGCCTTTTTGAAAGGGCTCCAGGCCTTGCTGTGTCTGCACCCTGAGAATCTTGTGAAAATTGCTGTGTGTGGGGCTTGCTCTGCAGGGGCATCTGGATCTGTTCACTGCAAGAGCTGCTCTAGCATCCTCTGCCACCCCCTCTCCGTATACTGTACTTGGCTGCTCAGCTGCATGCTAGAGCTGGCTGCATTTCAGGGTTGTGGGAATCTCAAGTGGCAGTAAAACTCATGGGTCTTGTGGGCTGATAGAGTCAAGACCCTTCCTGTAGGGTGCCCAGGCTACCTGCAGCATGGGTGACTGTGCAGTGGGGGGGGGATCCTGAGATGGCATGGGGAATAAGCAGCAGGGACTGCAGGTGAGGCTCTGAGGGGTCAAAAGACCTGTTGAGAGCGGGGGAGGAGCCCTCTGTCATGATGACATCCCTGGCAGTTTTTAAGGCCCAGCTTGACAAAGCCCTAGCTGGAATGATCTAGTAGGAGATGGTCCTGCTTTGAGTGGGAGGTTACACTAGATGACTTCCTGAGGTCCCTTCCAAACCTTATTTTCTATTTTTCTATGACTGTGCTGTACCCTGCCTGTAAAAGACGCTGGCTGGACCCATGCCTGCCCTGTAGGGGACACTCCTATGTTACAGGGTGTGACTGTTTGGACAGTGGGTGGGGCCAGCCCTGGGCCCGGGAGCCCGGTGAACAAGCCAGAGCTGCACCAGTTTCTGCTGGCACAGAAGCATTGGAGCATCTCTTGGAGCAGACTCTCCCGTAGGAGGCACAGCCTGCTCAGACAGGCTTGGGCACAGGCCCAGTCTTTTCTCCAGTTGTGACTGCGTGGAAGTGTTCATCTCCTGGTGGAGTGGCAGTGGCAGCAGCAGCCTGGGCATAGTAACACTGATCTCTTCCCTTCCTGCAGGCTGGTGCACCTGGCCATCATCCATTGTCACCCAATGGTGGCAGTCTGCATTGCCCACCTGCCCAGAGAGGTGCTGGAAATCCAGAATGACTTGTTCCAGGTGAGTGTCTGTCTGGGAGGGAGGCAGATGTGTGCTGCCAACTTGGTCTGCACCACAGGAATGGGGATGTGAGATATATGGACACAGTCAGTATAACCATTTCTGGTGTCTTCCTGTTCCTGAGCCGTGTCCACAGGCTGACCTAGGTGGTCCCCAGGGCAGCAGTGTGGCTGGAATCTGTAGGGGACACTAAGAATGCCAGCCAGAGTGTCTGCATCCAGCACCAGAGGCTTTGAGCCACTGTGGCTGCCCTGGGCCTGACACTGCCAGGCTGCGTTGCTCCACAGTGATAGAGAGAAGGATCGTAGCCACCCGACTTCTCTCGCCTGGGCAGGCTGAGGCTGCGAGGATGGGCCTACAGCAGAGGGAACTTGTTCCTTGGTGTCATCCAGGGCTTTTGTCTCCTGACCAGCATGTGAAATTGCTGGGTTCCACCTAACCTCTTTGCTCCAGCAGCTCCTGACCCTGCTGTCTGTCTTTCCCTACAGACCCCCCTTCACCTAGCTGTGTACCTGGAGCAGCCCAGCGTGGTACAGGCACTAATGCACAAGGGGGTGAATCTAGTTCTGCAAGACCGCAACGGCAACACCCCACTGCACTTGGCCTGTGAGCAGCAGAGCTTGCCCTGTGCCCAGCAGCTGCTGCAGGAGTCAGCCCCTGGGCAGTGCCCGCAGGACCTACAGCTCCAGAACTGGCAAGGTGAGGAGCAGTGCAGCAGGAGGGAATGGCTGTTGCGGATGGCTCTTGGTTGTAGTGTGTAATGTGTGGGAGGGGTAGGGGGATGGGAGCCAGGTGCTGACTGTAGCTGCAATGTGTGTGGGGGTGGGGTGCCAGGTGCAGTGCCTGGTTCTGTAGGTGTGTGGGTGTGTGGTTAGCATCAGACTCCATACTGAGATGCCCTAGGCAGAGAAGGCTTTTTGTTCAGCCTTGGTGCAGTGCTTAGCTAAACAGGGCTTCAGTATGGGACTTAGGGTTCCTGGTGATACGTATTGTACCTAGAGCTGCCTCTGCTGTGTCTCCTTCCCAGGCCTCACCTGCCTGCACATCAGTACCCTGAAAGGGAACCTGCAGCTGATGACACTGCTGCTGCGGAGTGGAGCAGACATTAATGTCCAGGTAATGCAAGATGTGGCAGGTGAGGCAGCTGGCACTACTGCCTGAGCCACTCTGTGCCCCTCCCCCAGGCTGGCATCATGGGAATAACC